TGTAAAAAAGAGTGCTTCTGCCAGGCGTTGGTGGCGCACGCCTTTAATTCCAGCACTCGGGAGGCAGAAGCAGGCAGATCTCTGTGAGTTCCAGGCCAGCCTGGTCTCCAGAGAGAGTGTCAGGATAGGCTCTAAAGCTACACAGAGAAACCCTGTCTGGAAACAAAACAAAAAACAAAAAAAAAGAGTGCTTCTAAAATTAAAAAAAAATTAAAATAAAAAAAAGATACAGTCTCAGATAACCCAGCTGGGTCTCAACTCACTAGGTAGCCCTTGTTAGCCTTGAACTCTTAATCTTCCTGCCTGCACCTTCCAAGTCCAAGTGTCAGGAACACAGGGGTACCCCACCACACTGGATTGCCAAGCTTAGGCAGCTCTTGTTTTATTGTGCTGTATAGATATTGCCATTTTTCTTTGCAGCTTGAAGCCCTGAGACAACCCTGTGTCAAGCCAGTCCACCAGGGCTACCTTGTCAGCAGCGTGTACCCATGCTTTGTCCATCGTATTTAGCAATTTGTACATTTTGAAGGTTTTTATCCGTATCACTTCTGTTATTGTGACCTGTGGTCGGTGATCTCTTAAAAAAAGATTTTTAGGTATATGTGTATGTCTGCACGTGCACATGCACACAGATGCCTAAGGAGGCCGAAGGGGAGTGTAGGAGCCCCAGAACTGACGTTACAGACAGTTGTGAACTATACAATGAGGGTTCTTGGAATGGATCTCTGGTCCTTTGCAAGCACAAGATGTGCTCTTAACCACTGAGCATCTCTCCAGCCTCTGGTCTCTTTCAAAAAAAAAAAAAATGACTTTTGTTACATTTATCTGTCTCCTGTCTTCTCTCTCTCCACCACATTGGTGATGGGAATTGAACTCAAGTTGTCAGGCTTGGCAGCTGGTATCTTTATCTGCTGAGCTCTCTTGCTGGTCCAATCTTTATTTTTGTCTTTTTAGACAGGGTCTCATGTCGCATAGGCTGGCCTGGAACTTGGCTGTGTAGCTGATGGTGACCTTGAACGTGTGATCCCTCTGCCTCCACCACTCCAGTGTTGGGATGACAGGCCTAGGCCACTGAGGTCATTGTGCCTGCTGCCAGTGATCCTCTGTGTTACTATTGTAATTGTTTTGAGGGCTCCTTGACCACTCTCCCTCTGCTCTCTGTTCTTCTGTATACAAAGGTGCTATAATTAAGCCCATTGTGAGTATGGTAAATTACTTGCTGAGCAGTTGTGAGGACTTGAGTTTGAATTCCCAGAGTCCACATAAAGTTGTATGCTGCAGTATATCTGTAATTCCACTGCTCTAACCTTGAGGAGAAAGGAAGGGATAGAAGATCCTTGGGAAGTTTATGGACCCCCCCTACACACACACACACCCCACATACACCACATACACCACATACACTGTTAGACCCCCGAAAACTCAAGTATCCGGGGTCTCAGGCCAGGCTCGCGGTCACCCCAATCACCAGGCGGATTCGAGAGCTTGCTGCAAACTGCACGAGGCTTTATTGTAATTTAACGAGTTA